GGCTGCTCGTTGCATCTCTGCATAACCCAGAGTTCTGGCTATGCATCTTTCCAGTCAGCTTGCGGGGAGGAAGGAGGGCCAAACTCAGCCTCACCTCCGCAGCGGGGGGCACTTGAAGCAGTTGAGCATGCCTAGGTTAAGACGCTGAGCTGCAGACCGTAAGGTCTGTAGCTCCGCAGTTTGAGACCCGATTGCCACGTAATTGAGTGAGCTCCCATCTCCGGTCCCAGCTCCTGCCAACCTAGCAGTTCAAAAGCAAGAAATTGCAAGTAGATAAATAGGTACTGCTTTGGTGGGAAGGTAACGGCATTCTGTGCGCCTCGGCGTTTAGTCATGACCACGGAAACTTCTTTGGACAGTGCTGGCTCTTCGGCTTGGAAACAGAGATGAGCATCGCCCCCTAGAGTCGGATTTGACTGGCTTTCAAGCAAGGGAATCCTTTACCTTTAAGGGGGTTGCATAATGACATCCCTATAGAAGAGGCTGCCTGTTGTTTCTCTTCGAGTCACTGCAGTTGGCTTGTCCCCTTCTGAACAGGGAACCATGTTGAGATCAGTGATTCGTGCAGAAGTACAGGGGGCTGAATCCTCTGTGGGCTGGGTCCTTGCAGACCAGATTAAAACAGCCCTCCTGGGCGTAAGCGGCAGGCTTCCAAACGTATTTCAGAAAAGCAAGCCTTGGCAGCTATAACAACCTGGGAAAGGTGTGTTCATGCCCTCTAACCCTTTTCCTGTGATGTCACAGCAAAACCAGTCTTGGCTTAGAGTCATTGATTTGCATTCCACTGGCAGCTTCAGGGAGGCCTTCCTAAAGAGACTCCCTTCCCCACAATGACGGGCATAACATTTGAACACCAGAAACATGAGAACAGCTCCCAATGGAAGGTTGGTGCTGCTCTGCTGCCCGGGAAGGACTCAGTTTATGATGCTGTGGTCCTCCTATAATTCGCATTTCTGTAAAGGCTTTCAGAAAGAGGGAAGGTGGTATCGTACAGCCCGATCTCATCAGATCTCGGAAGCTAAGCAGGGTCAGTAGTACTTGGAAGGGAGACCGCCAAGGAAGACTCTGCAGAGGAAGGCAACGGCAAACCCCTTCTACCTCTCACTCACCTTGAAAGCCCCTTGCTGGGGGTCACCAGAAGTCACCTGCAACTTGACAGCACTTTACACACACACTTGCCTTTGGAATGCAAAACGTCCATTACTGTCTCACAACCCTTACAACAGCCCTGTAAGGTAGGTCAGGAAGGATGATCCTCCTCTTATGGCAGATGAAGCTGAATGGGTTGCCTAAAACCTTCCTACGAGCAGAGGTCATTTCGGGGGGGAACGCGGGGGAACGCAGTCCCCCCGGGTGAGGTACGGGGGGCGGGGCACATGACGAAGCCCCGCCCCCTGCTTCCGGCCGCCCCACTTCCAGCCCTCATTCAGCCAGGAGGAGGCAGGAGAAGAGGGAGGGTAAGTTGCCTGGGGCCAGGGAGGGCCTTCGTGGGGCTTCCTTGCACTCCCACCGGCCTTGCAGGTCCACTGCCGGGCCCCTCATGGGGCTTGGCAGTGGAGCTGCAAGGCCGCCGGCGGCGGCCGGGACCGTTGGGGGCGGGATGTGTGGCCTTATGACACACTTCCGGTGATGTCAGGGGGTGTGGCCTTATGACACACTTCCGGTGATGTCAGGGGGTGTGGCATATGCTAATGAGTTATGCTAATGAGCTCCCCTAGCTCTTTTTTTACGAAACGACCCCTGTCTACGAGTGTGTGACAGGCGCTATTTGAAGCAGGAACCTCACTGGTCATGGTGCCACTGCACTACACTGGCGGCTGTAGGTGGGCTTCTGCTTCACATAGGAGGCTAGGGGTTCCGGTCCACATATGGCGCTGTTCACTGGTGCAAGCCCTGCACTCTGCCAAAAGCAACAGGAAAACCTTTCTGGGACAGGGAGAGCCTCAGAGGCCACGTTCCAAGCTGCTGATAGAAAGCTGAGGGTTGTTTTCCCCTTCAGGGATCGGCCTTCCCGTCTCCAGAAGGCCCCACTTCTTATCGGTGAAGCTCTGATAAGAGCCTTCCCAAAATGAAGCCCCGAGGCCTGCATAAACAGGGCAATATGTACACAGGCGCCACGCCCCATACTGAATCACTGCTCTGCTTATTTTCCCAAGCCTTCCCTTCCCTTTGCACAGCTTCTACAAACAAGAAAAGCAAACTCTAGATATGGGACTGTGGGGGGAGGGTCCAAGCTTGGGAGGGGGGGGCAGATGTTTGCCAATAGCCAGAGCTGCAATGGCCAAGCTGATGAGACGCCCACCAACAGGAATTGCCCACTTGCGGTTGCAGAGACCCCTTCGTTTGGTGAACGAAATGATGTGAAGCGAGCTGGGGAGGGGCAGGGCTCGGGTTCTGGCTTGCCGAGTTTGTTGTGCGGGTCCAAACTGGTGCTGAGAGAGAGGACCTAAGGAGGCCCAGGAGGCTCAGGAAGGAGAGAGGAGCAGAGAGTGAGCAAAATAAAAAAAATCAGTCAGGGGCCAGACAGGAAGCCGGGCCACCAAGAACCACCATGGCCCCTGCACAAGGCCTCCCCCTCCAAGTCCCATTCACACCATCCGGACCAATCCCAAACCTTGCACAAAAACAAACGGCATCGCTTTCTATGGGCAGATTGGTTCTGTCTACGTGTATAAGGGCTTCCTCTCCCACTGCATTCCTAACATTTACATCGCCCCCTTTCCGCAAGAAGTTCAGATCAGGGTCCGTGGCAGTTTCCCTCCCATTTTATCCTGGCAGCAGCCCAGAGATAGATGGACCGGGCGGAAAGAGAGGGGCTCTGGCTAGCTCCCCTCTCGCCTCAGTCAAGGAGCTGCTGAACTGACAGCCGTGCCCCAGTGGCGTCTCCACCCCACCCCCCCGCCAGCTTTCTTGGTGGCCCTAAGTGAAAGAGGGGCAGGAGTTAAGGGAAAAGAGAGCGGTAGGAGAATGAAGCAAAAGTGTTGGGTGTTACAAGTGAAAACACTTCTTCAGTATTTACTGGGTTAATGATGTTTGTTAAGTCACATGTTTGTTTGTATCCAATCTGTTTAGAGAGTTAGAAAGCCCGGTAACTTCAGATCTAGTTTGTTGTTCTGATTGGAGACCAAAGTGCCAAGTATTAGCATTTTATGGTTCTTTGTTCTGAGCAAGAAGAAGAAGCCTCTCTCCTGCCATTTTCAGTCTAACTGTAAGGATGTAGGAATATTAGCTCTTTGTTATTTTACATCCCGTGTACCTTTTCCCCATGCTAGGTTGTAGTAAACTTTTATCTTTTAAACACACCATAGACTCTGCCTCTTTAATACTCTGCTGATTTACTTTAAAATTAAGAATACCTAACAAAAAGGCAAGGGCATCACACCCAGAGCCTGGAAAAGCAAGAGGCAGGGACCGGTTGGTCAAAAGGGAGGAGAGGCGCAATCCAGTATGCACTTCCTGGGAACTGAGTCCCACGGAGTAAAGAAGGGCTCGTTTCTGAGGAAACACGCATGGGAACCGGCTGCAAGGTGAGGCGAAAAGAACACACGGGCCGCTCCTGTTGAGGTCAGACAAAAGGCCATCTTGGTCCAGCGGTGGCGCAGGCAGTTCAACGCCTGCATTAACAACACTATCCACGGGTCGCCCACCCAGCGGCTCGAAAGTGTAACCGCAAGTAGACAAATGGGTACCTGCCCTAGGTTGGCAGGGGGCACCCTCCTCCTGATGGTGTGTGCCAGGAGTGTTGGCGGTGGCGGCAGCAATAAGGCGGCAGAGCAGAGGCGACCCGTGGATACGGCGGCAGCGGAGACCGGATGGAGGCGGAGCTATGGCGGCAGGATGGCGGCGCGACGGCACCTAAGGGACAAAGGCCGGAACTGCGATCGGGAGCTGCCGCGTGCCGGAGGAGTCCATCAGGAGCCTGCCGGGAGATGTTGTCGACCCGTCCTAAGGCGCCAGGAAGAAACAACGGAAGCCCGCCCGTGGAATACAACAGGACCGCGCCGCTCGGGTGTCGATAGGTAGCCCCTCCCCCAGTCGAATTGTGGCCCTAGGATAGGAACTAATTAGGCACTTAGGCCATATACCTGTAAACCGCCCAGAGACCCTTGGGTAAAGGGCGGTATACAAATCGAAGATATAAAACAAATCGAAGATATAAACCAAATGCACAAAGCAGCTGGCTGGATGACACCCGTGACGGTGCAATGGCCAAAGTGTTGGGCCAGGAAGCGGGAGACCCGGGTTCAAAGCCCTGCCCTGCCGTGACGCTGCCTGGGTGGCCTTGGGCTCTCTCTCTCCCCCCATCTAACCTGCCTCACAGGGCTACTGTGAATGGGGAAGGGAGAATCACACCTGCCACCCTTAAGCTCCTCGGAGGAAGGGGAGGATGGAAGTACACCAGGTACCCCTGGGGAGGATCCCAGCAGCGGGGCCTGAAGGCTCCTCCAAGGGACTTTCCGGCTCTCCCTTCAGCATCCACAGTCACCGATGGGCCTCTCTTCTGCATTTGCCTCACCGCCTTTTGCAGCCGTCTCAGCCAGGCCGCTGCCCCATCCTGTGGTGGTGAATTCCGTTCTTTGAGTTACTATCTGTAAGCCAGACTTCCTCTTGGCTCTCCTGAACTCCTGGGCAACTGCAGAGAGCAATTTCCAGATCTAGCCACGCAAAAGGAGTAGACAGATCCAGAGGCTGAGACGCTGAGGGTGAGAAGCGGGTCTGTTTGCAAAAAGCCATCTTACCATTGGCTACTTGCCTGTCACTGGCTGTGGCTCTCCAAGCAATCAGAGGACCACTCCGCCTTCCAGCTGTGTTTCACACCACAGTTGGGGCTCTTTAAGGGCATGATAAATCAACTGGAAGTCAGGGAGCTGGCTGTGCGCAGGCCTTGCTCAGACAAGCGCACAAGGAAGAGGAACACAGAGACGCCCTCGGCACCCTCCCCTGGCCCCACGGCACACTTGGGTCTTTTCGCCCCGCTCACAGAATGCTGACACAACAGCAAGTTTTTAAAACACTTTGTTGGAAGTGACATTCGCCACTGTGATGTAAGAAGAATTCAACAGTAAAACGGGATGACACGGCTTTGTATTTAAGTCTGTTGTCACAAGGGGTGGGAGACAGATCCTCAGTGCAGCCGAAACGGGTAGCCGGCTTTCAGAGTTGGGTCGGGATCCTCATCATGGTCCTGGAGACACCGTCCTACCCCTGCTCTCCTTCCTCCTCGACGGCCATGGCCGACTGCTGCTCCTCCTCTTGCTCCGGATCTCCTGGAAGGATGCTGGTGACGGTCTGGAGGAGGGATTCGATTTGCTCTTCCGTTAGCCTCTCTTCACTTTCCTCGACTATCTGCGGATCAGAAACAATTAGCACCTCCAACTCCCACTGCTTTTTACGATCCCAAAATACTTGTTTAACCTTACACTTCCAAGATGCAGGCGAGCCATTAAGCTCGCAAGATTAAAGGCACTGCCGTCTGTGGTCCCTGAAGGCCGTATATTAGGCATACTGCGGTTGTGGTTTAGGGATTATGGATATTGTGAAATATGTTCTGTGATATGTCTGTGATATGAGGAGGCAAAAGGGAAATGGATCAAATCACTTATGTGCCAGCGAAATGAGCTTCCCCCTAGATATTTTAGTTATGAAATTTTTAATGGCCAGCAAGTATTCTTTTGCTAGCTAAATTCCTTCGTCGGGCCATGAGAGTTCAGGCAGCCTGTGACAAGACGTTTTCTCTAAGATGGTATCGCCTGTCCTCTCTGGCTTGAATTCTTCCTTTCCTCTGATTAGACCTATTTAGATTGAATAACAGTAGAGGAAAAAGAGGAAGATGAGGAGGAGAATTAGCACCTCTTCATGCCTGCCTCTTTTCCTGTCTTCTCACCCCACCAAACTGTAAGCTCCCCAGGGCAAAGACCATAAATACACGTGTCTCCTACCAGTTTGAGGACTACTTGGAGACCGTGCACCTTTTGATGCAAGGTGAATAGTTACAAAGGACGGGGCCTTCCCAGCGACAGCACCTTGACGGTGCAACACCTTCTCCTCAGCAAGCTACCTGGTGTCAAGTCTCTTGAATTTTTATGTCAGGTATTCCCCAACTTTAACGTTGACAATGAAGAAATTGAAATTGTTCCAGATTTTCTATTCCTTGGCTCCATCATCAGCCAAGAGGGAGACTGCTATCAAGAAAGCAGAAGGAGATTGACACGGGGGAGGGCAGCCATGAAGGAGGTAGGAAAGGGGGGGAAAGGTGTTGCTGGTGACCAAGATCAAGATAATTCATGCCACAGTGTTCCCCATTACAATGCACGGGTGTGAAAATTGCACAATGAAGAAAGCTGACAGGATCAAAGTTGATTCATTCAAAATGTGGTGCTGGAGGAAGGTTTTATGGATACTGTGGACTGCCAAAAAGGCCAATTAAGTAGGTTCTAGATCAAATCAAGCCTGAATTCTTCCAAGAAGAGGAGGAGGAGGAGGAGAAGGAAGAGGAGGAAGAGGAAGAAGAGGAGGAGGAGGCAGGAGCAGATTGGATTTATACCCCACCCTTCACTACCTGAAGGAGTCTCAGAGCAGTTTACAATCTCCTTTCCCTTCCCCTCCCCACAACAGACACCATGTGAGCAGTGTTCCCTCTAAGCTGAGTTAGTGTGAGCTAGCTCACAGTTTTTTAGCCTCCAGCTCACACATTTTCATCTTAGCTCAGGAAGGATGGCTCCAGAGCAAACTAATTTATGCAGCAGCCAAATGGCTCACTCGCGACTTTAATGCCAGTAGCTCGCAAAGTAGATTTTTTTGCTCACAGGACTCCACAGCTTAGAGGGAGCATTGCCTGTGAAGTAGGTGGGCTGGAAAAGCTCTTTCGAGGGCTGCTCTTGAGAGAACAGCTCTGAATGAACTTTGTAACTGACTCAAGGTCACACCAGCAGCTGCATGTGGAGGTTTGGGGAATCAAACCCAGTTCTCCCAGTCTGCGCTCCTAACCCAACAAACTGGCTCTCCCACTACTGAGGATGTCATACTTTGGTCACATTATGAGAATACAAGATCAAGATGGGTAGCCATGTTAGTCTGTCAGTAGCTGTAGAAAAAAAGTCCAGTAGCACTTTAATGACTAACAAAATTTGTGGCAGGGTAGGAGCTTTCGTGAGTCACTGCTGCTCACTTCTTCAGATGGGAATAGAGTCATCGGAAAAGACAATAATGCTGGGAAAAGCTGAAGGCAACAGGAAAAGAGGAAGACCCAGGATGAGATGGATTGACTCAAGTCAAGGAAGCCACAGGCCCTCAGTTTGGAAGACGTGAGCAAGGCTGCTAACTGATAGCACATCACGCACACACGCACACACACACACACACCCCAGCCATTTCAAACAGGTGGATGAGACTGGCTTTTGTTGTCCACTTGTTTAAAAAAAAGAGTTTTTCACAGAGCCATCCTAGGCACAGTTACACCCCTCGAAGCCCAGGGACTTCAATGGATTGAATGAAAGTTTAACTCTGCTTGGGAGTGCACCTGTTAGCACCTGAAAAGCTTCCCATGTTCTGTTGATCCTTTGCCGTTTTAAGTGCCACTGCTGATTTTCTTGGCGCTTTTATAGTCTCACGGTCTGATTTATTGTGGCATTTTCTATTGTTGTGGGGTTTTTTAAGTGAGGCACTTCAGAAGCCAAGAATGGCTCATAGGGCAGAAAAGAAACAGATCAAAGAAATAAATTGTGGTAAAAACAATATAGCAATAGAGTTCAGTGGGTGTAAGCAATGCTAATTCAAAACCACAGCCTTTCAAACATAGTAATTCTACTCTCAAGACAAATGTTTTGGAACAGAAGCAATTAATTCCAAGGCCTTTTGTACTCTTAACAGCTTGTTCTCCAGAAGTGCTTCTCAGAGCTAAATCTGGGTCTTGAATTAGCCTTGTTCACACCAAAGGAAGCCTTTTGCTACCCTGCAAAGGAGGGTCACTGTTGGATTCGGGCAATAGAAAGATGCCTATATAGAGGATGCTGTTTTCTCATTGTTGGGGCTTAGACTGTAAGCTCTGTGGGGGCAGGGACCTGTCTGGTTTTGCCCTCTGTACCTCCAAAAAGCATCACGGACACAGGCACCCTGAACAAATGACAGTTACAAAGCACCAAATTTCAAACCAACAGGCCACTTTCACAAAGGCTGATTCTGCATCTAGCATTTGCTCCACATTTTCTCAACTGGGAGGAAACAGTGCAGCTTAAAACCCCATTCAAATACCTTGGGGAACCCCTACTGACTGCAAAGTCACCCCTGAACGACCATAAAACAGCCATAAATCCAAGAGCTCAAAAGTGGAGTGCAGTCTGGAAGGTATTATAAAACCCGATAATCAAAGGAAGTGAAACCAGCATGCAATGCAGAGGGAATTTCTGTCCCAAAGTGGGTTTTCTAAAACAACGGAGGGAAAAGCCAACGCAGAATCAGCCAAAGATGATACGTGTGAGTTTGAAATTGTTTGAAAATGAAAATACAGAAGCCAGGTTTTAAAGCGTTTTTCCTAAATGGTCAGGCCCTTTGAAAAGAAGAAGGGCAGAAGTTGAAGCCATTCCCATTTCTAGCAAGGGCAAAGGGAAGCCAATTCCACTCTGCAAAGCTGACTCATCTGCTCTGGCTCCAGATCTGCTGGCTTGGCTTTGAGCATGGGAAGAAGACCAGGAGGTTTCAGAGCCAAGGGACCTGGGCCGCTGGGATTAACTGGCCTGCAGCCTTTACCCTTCCCTTGGACGGCTATCAGCAGCAGCCTAATGGACTTCCTTGGGCGGCGGGGGGGGGGGGGGGGGCGGGGAGCCGTTACGTTCACATCAGAGCCACCCGGTAGGTCCAGTGCCTGGTACTCTCAGGAGCAGATGCTCAGGTGGAGTGTTTGCTTTGGCTATTCATTTCTCTCTCTAATATGGAGGCTTTATTTGCTCGGAGGACGGCCATGGCGTTCGGGTGCTCTCGCCAGCGCATCAGTCAATACCCATTTTATTACGCAGCTCTCCCCAGCGGAGGCAGCAGCATCTGTTAAGGCTGGATGCTGGGCCATAGGCAGCATGGGGGGGGGGCAGAGAGAAGCAGCGCTCAAAGGCTGGAGGCACGGGTCCCCGGCAACACAGAGATAGCGGAAATCCTCCATGAGACCGGCAGGCGCCGATGCCGCCCAGGGAAGTCTCAGCTTGACTTGGAAGCCTCGATAGTTAAGCTGGGTCAAAGGAAGGCAACGGGTTGCCAAGGTGTGGGCAGAGGCACCCCGGAAGCCTAAGAGAACAGCCCAGCCCAGGGGGGTCTTCTGCCCTACAGCCCCCAAGGAGAGCCACACACGTATGCCAGGCCCATAGCTAATGCCAGGCCCTAGCAGTTTTTATGGGCCCCCTTCCTGAGCCTCGGCTCCCCTACCCCAACTCCCCTTGAGTGCCTGTCTGCCTGTTGGCAAAGGAGGATTTCAGAGGCTGCCCCTGGTGCTGTGCTGCGGGAAGAGGCACTGAGGCTCCTTGGGGAGGGAGGGAGCTGGACCCGGACGCTCCATAGGGAAGGCCTGCCTTTGTGGGAGGGGAGGGGGGAGAGGGAGGGAAGCTGTGGCTGCTGCAGCCCTTACCCTGGAGCCTTTGATTGGATTAGCAGGCGGGCCCCTCCAGGCCCCCTCCCTAAAAAGTCCTTAGCTACGGGGCTGACGTATGCCCACTCCTCAGCCAACACCCGGCCGTATCCTCATTAAAGGTGGCCCACCTGGCCCATGTTTTTTCGGTGATTGCTCCCACGCTGTGGAGGTGATGGCGGGCACTGTAGGGTTGTTTTACTCGCCAGAGCTTTCAATGGAGTGTAGGTTGCAGGCATTTTTAGAACCCTTATTAGGTGTGGGGAGGCAAGATTGGGGTTTTGGTCTTGTCTGATGTTTTAAATTATATATTGTAAACTATCCTGAGCCGTGGGGAAAAGCGAGATACAAAATGTTTTAATAAATAAATGGGGCAGAAGCGTGCCGGCTCTCTTCTGCCTGACAAGCAGCCTCTGTTCCTCTGTGTTGCTCACAGCAACCCCGATTTCTTCAGCAAAGCCCTGTCGCCTTCCTCTGCCTCAGGCCCACAGCCTGGGGGGGGGGAGAGGCTGGTTTCCATGATGTGTACAATACCTCGAATACTATGGGCAGGATCATTTCCCCTCTCTCACTCACAGGGGCTGCCAAAGCTATTCACCCTGCTCGTGTTCGTTTCGTAGCAAGAGCCAGCGGCGTAGCGATCAGCGTGTCGTGCTAGGAACTCGGAAAACCAGGCTCACGTCCACACTCTGCTATAAAACACGCCGGGGGACCATCCGACCGATGTCCCAGGGTTGCTGGGAAGGAGAAAGGGGAGAACCCATGCGTGCCACCCCAATGTGGCTTGGAGGAAGGGCGAGGCAGAAATGTATTTGATAGATTTCCATGGGGACCGAAAGCCTGGCCCATCCGGGGCATCGTTTTTACAGCAGTTATGGAAATATCCACCCCCCCACACTCCGGCTGCCATTGCTGACCCCTCTCCATCAGGACGCTCTCCCTCTAGTCTCTAGCTACCCAGAACTGGGCTCCTGAAAGGAAGCAAGCCTTCTTCCACTTGGCCAGGACCCGGCTCCAACTTAGGATCCCCTCTCGGCTCTGACCTGGATAGCTCAGGCAAGCCCAATCTTCATCAGAGCTCAGAAGCGAAGCAGGGCCGACCCTGGCAAGTACTCAGAAGGGAGACCTCCAAGGAATACCAGGGTCATGGCCAGTGTTCCCTCTACGCTCAGTTAGTGTGAGCTGGCTCACAGTTTTTTAGCCTCCAGCTCACATGTTTTTGTCTTAGCTCGGGAAGGACGGCTCCAGAGCAAGCTAATTAAATCATTGATGCAGCAGCCAAATCGCTCGCTCACAGCTTTAATGCCAGTAGCTCCCAAAGTAGAATTTTTGCTCACAGGACTCCACAGCTTAGAGGGAGCACTGGTCGTGACGCTGAGGCAGGTGATGGCGAGCCGCCTCTGAACGTCCCTTGCCTTCAAGCCCCACTAAGGGTTGCCAGAAGCCAACCATGACTTCCAGGCACACACACACACACACAATACTCACAAAAAAAGAAAAATCCCTTCTTCAATATAAAACTGCAACAAAAATCGCTACCGAAACTTAATTTCTCTTGGTCGCTTTGAGAGCTAATTTCAGCTGAAGAACGGGAGACAACTATAATATAAACAAGCTCCCATTGTTTTGATGCTGGCAACCTTTTCTTTCCCAACTGTGACTTTTTCCCCTTGGCCCTCACTGCCCTTGACCTCGCTGCCTTTTAGATCCAAATAGATTTTGTTTACTGCTGCCCGACACCATCGTGTCAGAGGTGCACTGCTGCCATGTCATTGATAAAACCCATGTAGCCTGCCACAGCCAATGAAATCAAATGGCAGTGAGGACCAAGCAGGCCACGGACAGTGAGGGCAAAAGCCTTTAAGGGAAACGGCAGCAGCCAGAAGGAATGAAAAGGTACCTAACAGCATCTGAACAAAGTGAGTGTTCAGGAAGATGAGAAGAAACTGCCTTTTTAAGGTTCAAAACAATTTTACAGAGGGCTTTGGATGCCTGGGAACTTTGTCACTCACCAGCTGGATCTCAACGGCAGTCACAGGCCTGAGGTTGAGAAGCTGTAGCTTTTCCGCTCTGTGCAAAAAGAAAAGAACGCACCATGTAATTTGGGGATTCTGGTCAGAGAAGCAGTCCACATTTGAACACTTCCTTGCTTGTTTAGAGGTCAAAACCTTGGCCACACGTCACCCCAAAGGGCCAAAGAATCCGGATATGGCAGCTTTGCGTGGGACAGTGAAGGACAAGAGCTTCGGGGCGCTCAGAAACATTTCATCACCGCAGCTATAACCCAACATGGCATTTTGTGGCCCAAGAGTGAAGACTATCCAGCTTCCCTCATGACTCTTGGTTCGGGCACACTGACAAAAATCTGTACTTCCTTCGTTGAGGATTCTTTGTCCAAGGGCTGCCATCCGCAACTTGCTCAATCGACAGCCCTTGCAGAGATGGCTGGAAAACAAATGCCAAGTTTTCTTGGAGTTAGATTTTTAAAAAATCAGTTCCAGATTTTAGGCATCCAACTTGCATACTTTACATGGCACAGGAAGTAGCTTCATGGCAGGGGACCTTGGCCCACAACAACCAGACTCCACCCACACCACTACAACAGCACTGGCCTACCTTGCAGGGTTATAAGGAGGGCTTAGATAATACACGCAAAACTCTCTGAACACTCAAAATCCCTATGTGATGCTAACCATCATTAGTAAAAAAGCTTTCCAGAAATCACATTTGAGCAATCGGGAGGTGGCAATGGAATGATTATGTCACAAAATATTGTTAAGATTCCTTTCCAATGCACATTTGTTTCCATTTTCGCCATGAAAAGTCAGGGCCAAACATCTTGAATGCCTCTGGATTCCTCCTTCCACAGCAGCCATTTTGATACAGGATTTCTATTGCTGAGTTGTCGGGACTTGCTGTTTTACAACAAGCATTAAGCAGTCGGCTGCGTTTCGAAAGACCAAAATAAGTCACCGCTGCAGGGGATTCGACTGATGGGCATGGCGAAAAAAGGGACTAGAAAGCCAGTTGGAGTATCCAGCCGCAAAGAGTGATGCTTTGAGTCAAAATAACCCACACGGGGACAATATAAACACAGTACAGTTGTAAAAGAAGCATTTTTTTTTTGCTTTCACTGAAGCAGTAAAAGCAGGCTGAGCAATGCCAAAAGCACCAGGGGGATCAATCCCCTGCACCAATTTACCCCCTCTTCCTCTCCCCCAATATATAAGTCCACTTTGGGGGTTTAGGAGATCCATGTTCATTCTTTTCACCCTGCAGTAAAACTGTGCCTGGCACTTCAGCTCCTCGTGGCTTTCACTGGACACGGCAGCGGACCGAAAACATCGCATGCAACATGGACCCTGCTGCTGGTTCTCGTGCTCAGCGCAAAGATAGCCCTGTGGGAAAAGGCAGCTGTGGTTCCTCAGGGCAATTCTTGTGACAGCATCCAACCAGGAATGCAAAAAGTACATGTCTGGGTGAAGCACCAAGATTCAAAAGGGTGAGAGCAGCAGGGAGGGGGGAAAAAAAACCCCGTACAGCTATTTTTGTACCCAGGGTTGCCAACCTCCAGGTAGGGCCTGGAAATCTCCCAGAGTTACATCTCTGGACTTCAGGGATCAGTTCCCCGGGGGGGGGGGGAGTTCGGGGGGGGGTGTGGATTCTACGGCACTGTATCCTGCCAAGGTCCCTGCCCTCCTCAGGCTCCACCTCCAGGAAACAGTGATCAGTAACCCTGGAGAAAACAGATGCAGGAAGGCAGCCATGTTGGTCTGAAGCAACAGAACAAAGTTTGAGTCCAGCAGGGCCTTTACGTCCAACAAAGTTTAATTCCGGGTATCTGAAGAAATGTGCTGGCACGTGGAAGCTGATACCTAGAATTAAACTTGGTTGGTCTTAAAGGTGCCGCTCTGTTCTATTCCTGGAGAAAACGGCCGCTTTGGAGGGTGGGCTCTGCGGCTTCATACCCCTGCAGAGTCCCCTCCCTTCTCCAAACCCTGCCCTCCCCAAGCTCCACCCCCCCAAATCTCCAGGAATCTCCCAACATGGAGTTGGCAGCCCTATCTAGAAACCACCCTGACATTTATCATTTGAATATGTTGTCATTTTTTTTTGTTTTTATGCTACTTTTACTTGCAATTGTTTCATCTTTCTTTTCATGGCAGAAGGAAGGAAGGAAGGAAGGAAGGAAGGAAGGAAGGAAGGAAGGAAGGAAGGCATCTGCAAAGGGTTAACCAGTGTTATGTGATAACTTGGCCTATTTCTTTCATAGTGATGACCAACCAAGCGCACAGCCCATCAGGGAGCTCTCCTGCATAAGTCCCATTGGAATGAACTTCCTGCTAGATTAGGCCCCCAGGCTGTTTGCATTTTATCTTCCAACTCGGAAAGCAATGAGATGCCCCAGCTGGAAACCGAGCAGCAAAATATATGTGCTAGCAGCGCCCTCTGTTGTCCACAGAGTATCCTTACATGCAATTCTGTGTCTGCTTTTGTCATTTTGCAAAATTTGAGAGCTTTAACTAGTGGCTCCCAGCTCTGGGTTTGGAAATACCTCAAGATTTTGGGTGTGCAGCCTGAGAGAGGGGGGTTGGGGATGGGAAGGACTTCAATGGGGCATAATGTCATAAAGTCCATCTTCCAAAGCAGCCATTTCCTCTAAGTGAACGGATATCTATCGCCTGGAGATCAGGTGTAATACCGGGAGATCTCCAGCCACCACCTGGAGACTGGCAACCCTAGCTGTTAACTCTTTTCAAATAAGGAGGAAACTACACCCCCTCCCAAGAATTCAGACATCTCTCTTACTGAAACTGAGAAAGAGGTAAGCTATGTATGCTGCTCTGAGCAACTCGGAGGAAGGGGAGAGACAAAGAATGAAACCAAAGTATAAGAGAGGATCAGCATTTCCTAATCTCTGGAGTCGAGATCGGCCAGCTGAGCTCTGGCAGGTGAATCAAGCAGGGTAAGAGAGTGGCCTGGGTTAATTATGAGCCAGAGGGTATTTCTACTCCCCTAAAATAGCTCATTCGATGAGAGCTAAACAGCAGAACGATTAAACAATTCAACTAAAGCAAGACTCCCATCAGTTCTACAAATAATAAGGAAATGAGAGAATAAACCAAGCCTACAGGTTGCCCCTCAAGTATCAGCAGGACTCTCTGCCTAAGCCACAAAGAGCTTCACCTGACAAGAAGCATTTAATAGAAGATAAGAGGAGGCTATCAATGGGATAATATTGCAGGAAAAGAGGAAGAGGAGACCAAAAAACTGCATTGGCTCCGTATATCCAGCTAAGGCAGTGGACGAGTGAGAAATTAAGTGAGCGACCCCCAAGAGAGAAAAATACATTTGAAGAAGCTATTTGGGGAACAGTAAAAGGGAGGCTGCCTAAACTTTATGAAATTATGGTCCATATTGTTAAATGTGGCTGGCATAAAGATCTCAGAATGTACCCGGAGCCATATCTAGAAAATAAAATACCTCCAACTGTGTGCAAGGCCTCCTTGGAGGCTTTTAAAAAAATCATCTGAATGCCATATCCAATTTATAGGCTGAAGTGGGCTGATTGGTGGCTTGTAGGGTAGAGTTCTCCATATAGCAAAGCTTGTAAAGGGGGAGGCCGCATGTTTGAGAAAGCAAATCCACCAGAAGTATGGACGGGAAAGGCTGTGACTCTGTGGAAGAGCACCTGTTTCGCAGGCAGGAGGTCCCAGGTTTAATTCCTGGTGTATTATTTATTTATTTATTATTATTTATTATTATTTATTTTATTGATTTAATTTATACCCCACCCTCCCCACCAAGTGGGCTCAGAGCAGCTTACAGATATTTCATTAAAATACAATTAAAACCTATCATAACATATAACATAAAATAACAATCATTTAAAATACAACTAAAACGCTAAAATTCTGCTAAAGAAGATCTCAGGTAGCAGGAGATCTTGGAAGAGGCCTGTGCAGAAAGCGCTCAGTTAGGTGGCCCAACAGTCTAAGAATAAGGCACCGCCACAACAGGAGGAAGAGTAATAAAAGATCCTTTATCAGAAACCTTAAAATACTTTAGAGAAGTAGGATTTAATTGATTTATACATTATTTGCCCAACGTGAGAAGAATGCCCTGACCCAGATGGCCCAGGCTAGCCCCGATCTCACCAGATCTCAGAAGTTAAGCAGGGTCAGCCTTGGCTAGTGTTTGGATGGGAGACCACCAAGGGAATACCAGAATTACTACGCAGAGGCAGGCAATGGCAAACCCACCTCTGAAGGTCTCTTGCCTTGAAAACGCTATGGGGTCACCTTAAGTTGGCTGCAGCTTTATGGCACTTTCCACTACAACCACCACTAGAAGAATAAAGTAGTGCCATTGCTTAAAGGATGGTTAAAGCAATAAGGATGCACATTACCCCACTTAAATTACCTGTTGGCATTTAGAGAAAGAAGAGGTAGAAGTAACTTAAGCATTGAAGATAATCAATTTATTTACTGGGGAAGAAGTTACAGGGAGAACTTGCTGAACAGAACCAGTTTTACAACTTCTTATAGCTTTTGCGGTTCTGAAACAACATGAATGCTATTTAACAGGCCAGTTTGTATTTTGTTTTAATTCTTCATTTTCTTTTTGTATGGCGCATTCCTGGCGATTGTCTGGCATGAAATTTTGCACAACTACGTTTAAAAATTATTTTAAAAGATGGTATGTACAGAAGGACATCTGAAATATCCTGCTAAAATGAATAATTCTCTAACCCTGCTGCAATTCCTGATTCTGCTGTTCCTTCTAAATGTTGGAAAATAGTACATACAAGAGGCGGGACCCGCGATACTCGCGGGGGGGATGGACCTCCACACATGAGGCAGAGGAGGAAGCAGCAGGAGGAGGTAAGTTCCCCCCCATCCCACCGGTTCCTCCCCCGTCTCCTCCACACACACCCCTGCGCGATCTCCCTCGCTTGCCTTCCCCCCTCCCCCGGCTCCGAAGCGAGGCCCGAGCGGCGAGCGGCGGCGGTGAGGGAGTTCGCAGAGCGTTCCCTGCGCATGCGCAGGGGACGCTCTGTCAGTTTTGGG